TGATTTACACTTTTACAATTCATTGACTTTGTTTAAGCATTATGCACATTTGTGTTACCCAGAAAACCACGTCATTTCAGAAAAAGTACACCAGATCGTTTTTCAGACATTTCACCTTCATTTTTGACCTTTCCAAGGTCGCAAAAACAATTTTTTCATAAGACAAGTTTGATGTAAAATTTTCCGCTCTTTCGAAATCTGCAGTCAAAAATAGGGTGTCCCATTAGAAAAAACCATCGTGATCTTGAAATAACCTTCAAAATTGACCTTAAGGTCAAAACCAATGGTACAATTGAATGACACCCTCTGTCCTGGTCAACTTTTATCTAAACCATTTTTTTGTAGATACCGTAATTTGGAAGATATTCGGATCCATAGACTAAAATGACTCACCCTGTATATAATATTATTCTACTATAACCTGTAATATATATAATATAATTAATTAAATCAATAATCATTAAATTAATTAATAATTAAATAAAAAAAATATATATGATATATATTTACAAAAATTGTGTTACAAGAGTAATAGAAGTTATTGTATAATATGGCTGAAGGAAGACGTAGAATATTACTTTTATGTTTATTATATATAAGATATCGAAAGAAAAAAGAAATGAAAAAAAGTAAATGAAAATATTGGGTACACCCGGTGCTCAAACTAAAGCAACAGCAAGGGGATTGGCACAATTTAATTCGCGAAATAATCTTACAAGATGATGAAACATATTTTAATTATATGAGAATGACACCTAGTATGTTTGAATATTTATTATCAAAAATTAAGTTGGACCTATGATAACAAAAATAGAAACACATTGGAGAAAACCTATTTCAGCAGCTGCACGATTATCAATGACTATACGGTATGTAGATTTATAATAACTTTATTTAATCTAAATCTTATTGTCTGTTATATTTATATTAAACAATAGATATAAATGTTTTTACATGTAACATGTAACAATTTTATTTTTAGTTATTTAGCAAGTGGAGATTATCTTCATAGTATTTCACTTAACTATAGAATTGGAAGAAATACTGCGATATGTATAATAAAAGAAACTTGTGAGGCTATATGGAGTTGCCTTTATAGAGAAGAATTATTTACACCAACAATAAATGGGTGGCAAGCAATAGCTCATGAATTTGAGAAAATATGGAACTTTTCAAATTGTATCGGTGTTTTGGATGGAAAGCACGTATCTATAATTGTATGATTATATTAAAACATACGCAAAATATTTATTATATATACTTGTAACAGCCGCACGTCTCGTGCCGGTTGTTGGTTGTATAGTCGGGAGTATCGCTCGTCGGAGTCCGGGGTCGTTGAGTGATTGACACCAGCAAGTAACAATAGATAACAATTTATTTGATGTTTACTATACAGAACAACGGTGTGAACCGCGTATAGTTCGGCGCGAGGCAGCGTCAGCGATCGGGTCGCGTTCTCGCTCGGCTGTGTCTCGCGATTCGGTAGGCGGAGCGAATGACGCGAAGACGGCTGGTCGTGAGAGACAAGTCGCGCGGATTTCGCGAATCGCGGTGCGGACAGATTGGTGGCCGCGGGGGCCCGGCGGTAGACTCGGTGTTTGCGTATCGCAGCACGCGGCGCAATATATCGGGCGACTCGCTTATCGCCGCAACGAGATCGGCAAGTATCGACAACATTTGGTCGGGCGCAGCGAACACACTGGCTCGTGGACTTGCACGTGGGGTCGGGACACAATCGGTACCGAGAAGACTCGATCGGGTCCGCGAATGCACGAACTCGTAGGCCAGTCGTTGGATCCTGATAGGAAGGCGAAGTCGGTGTCAAGAGCGCTCGACGGAGATAGCGAACATACAATCTCCTGGTGCCGGTTTCGCCTGTACGGTTTCGGAAGTTGACGGGAAAGCAGAAACGATACGGTCGGATTCCTTGCTCTCCGCTCTGAAGCATCGAGTTCGGTCGGCGATTCGAATCGGTCTTCTCGCTTACTTCTCGGCCACGGTTTATATATCGTTTCTTTACATTTGACGTTGTTGACGTCCCGCGTCTTATGCTAGGCGTGGCACGTGTTTATGTTTGTTATATTTGTTTGGCGCTTAGCGCCGTTTACAGCCGACGTTGTTGTGTCGGCTGTGTTAGGGACGATGCGTGTGAGGTATCGTCACATACTCTATAAATATTAATAAATATTATTTCCACAGTGCCCCGAGAAAGCAGGAAGCACCTATTATAATTATAAAGGATTCTATAGTTTAGTTTTATTGGCGCTAGTGAGTACAACATACAAATTTTTAATTGTGGACATTGGTGCTCAAGGAAGACATAGCGACGGAGGAATTTTTAAAAATTCAGTTATGGGACAACGATTTTACAACAAGTATATGTACTTGCCTGATCCTTCTGCTATTAGTCACAGACATAACGCACCATATGTTATTGTAGCTGACGAGGCATTCCAGTTAAATTTGTTTACCATGCAGCTGTATCCATCGAAAAATTTAACAAAAAAACAACGCATATTTAACTATAGGTTAAGTAGAGCTCGATGTGTTGTTGAAAATGCATTTGGAATATTAGTTACTCGATGGCGTATTTATCAGAAACCTTTAAATATCAGTCTTCAAACAAGTGATGCAATAATAAAAGCAACAGTCTGCTTACATAATTTATTAATGAGTACTTCATATTACTGTGAAGGAAATTATGCTGATAAATTATTAGCAAATGGCGAGATAATTGGAGGAGAATGGAGACAAAAAAACGTGAATATTAATAATTGTAGCAATACAAGTTTGGTAAATAATAACTACACTAGACAGGCAAGTGAAGTTCGAAACATTTTTGCAGATTATTTTATGAACGAGGGAAAAGTTCCTTGGCAAGAAGATATTATTTAAAAAGATAATTATGAATTTATATATTTACTCAAAATTAAAGATTATACATTTATATGAATGTGTTCGTATATTTTTTAAGACTTATATACCGCAATCAACGCAAAATGTAACTCATAAAATAAAAATTATTTTGATTAACAAAAATATCATTTTATGCGTCGGGAACATCTTAATTTTGTATTAAGTATGTAATATTATGTATAACATATTGCAACATAACTATCATTTAGTGACATTCAACAATTATACATGTATACACAAATATTAAAAATAAAACAAAATACATAAGATAACTAGATATAGAATATTAAAATAAAACATAGAATACTAAAATAAAACATAGAATACAGAAATGAAACATTACATATCTTCCTCTGTAATAACTTTTAATATCATATTTTTAATACGTTTCGAGTTGTGTGCACTCATCCCTCGCAGACATGCTTCAATATATTTTGTGAAACATTCAATTTCATCAGGCTTCGTATGAGGTCATTTGTTGGTCTTGTTCGTGCTAATTTTCTTAAATAGCTTCTTCGGTATCACCGCACGTGGACGGCCGCTGAGAACAATGGCTCAGCGAAAGGAGAGCACGACTCGTACGAATGCATGAGGCTGAAGCATGAGGCCTGCAGCCACTCAAACGAAGCAACAAAGAACAGGCAGGCGCGGCCAATCAAGGGCGGCTCAGATACAGATTGCCCGCGAGGGCAGAGATCGGCGGGCACGCTTGCCCGACCGCCTGCACGCGGAAACGCCCGCACAATCACAGAGAGACACGTCCTCGGGTCACGCGTCGCTTACCGGCGCGTCCGCGATCAACCTTGCGGTCAAATGCACCAAAGCGCAGACTACGGTTGGCGAACCGCGGGCGCGCACTAATCACACCGCGAACACGTGATCGGCCCGAGGAGAAGAGGGAGTAACGCTGACTCGATGCATCCGCGCTCGGCGCTCGGAGATGCTACAGAACTAGCTCGCCATTCGGCGCACGGCTGGCGCACATCTCACGGCACGCACAATGTTCCGCACAAACGGCACGAACGGCGTAGACAAAGGGCCGTGCGTCGTGCACGTGGATAAGAGCCTGGACGAGCAAACGCAGGGTTGTTCCGACCGACGACCGGCCACTGAGTCGAGCGAGAAGAAAACGCAAGAGCAAGCGCGGACGAACGCGAAAAACAGAAAAACTAAACGATACTGCTAATACTGATAAAACGAACGCGGAGAGATGGTCTCCTCTAGGCTGCCAGCTGCGGTGGCTCTCGTGGCGCGACTGCGAAGAACCGGCGCGGCTGCAGCACCTGCTTACGCCTCCCGGCGCGAGATGTCGGCTGCTGTACTGCAGGCGACAACGCGCGTGCGGTCGGCGATCGAACCGCCACAGATATACAAATATATTTTAAGAAATACATACTCTTTAATTTTTATATATTAATATTTTGAATAAACACATACATTGATTCTTACCTAAATAATTATGTATATCAGCCCATAATGCTTTTATATCTGATGGACCTCTGAACTTATAAGATAGAGATGAGTTCCATAAAGGTTCTCTTTCAAATACACCAGCAATTAATCTCAGTATAATCATTTTTGTTGTTTAAATTGATATCACTATCAGTACTGTAAATAGAGCAATCATGTTCTTCTGTAACATCTATTACATTATTGCAATCTCGGCACCGCTGAAAATAAAAATTAAATTACATATATAAATAACAACTATTTTTAAATAAGTATAAAATAATGAACCTTTTCACACACACACACACACACACACACACTCTTGTTTCACATAACTTTGTAAAAAACATCATAAAATCAGTTTTTCATCGTGTACCATACTACGATATTATTTAATATTATATATATATATATATATGTATATATGTATATTAGGGTATCATAACAAAAGTATCAGTACCCCTAAATAAATTTCCAGGATCGCATTTTCCGAGAAAATCATTCAGACAAAAGTTGCATAGTTTTGACCAAGCGATTAGATGGTGACCTTTGTCTTTGACCTCGAGGACATTTTTTGAGGTCATTTCCGTTTAAAAGTTCAAAGTTGACCTTGAAAAGACTTCTCAGGATGTGTCAAAGGTCGAAGTCAAGGTCACCAACGAATACCCCGTTTAAAACCCTACAACTTTCATCCAAAACATTTCTCGAACATTAAAAAAAAATTTTACCTTGAAATGACCTCGAGGTCGAAGACAAGGTCACCATTTAATCGCTTAGTCAAAACCTTAAATCTTTTGTCTAAAACGTTTCTCACCAAGCCACCTGTCT